AGGCTGAACACGGGTGGATCGCTATGAGTCCGAGCTATGTAGTGACACCCTGTAGAACCTGCATTAAATTCAAAAAAGTAAAAAGAAGTCAGCAACAGTGAGCCTATGCCCCATGAGCATGGTATATCCCTTCATTTCTTTAGGTTTTCTTTCATTCAAATAGCAAAAAACCAAGAGGCACAAGCCAATTACACGGAGCAAGATACTCTTAGTGCTAGGACAAGCAGATTCTGCATGCAAAACAGTGAAGCTGGAACTCCGTGTGGGGCGCGTGCCCGAAAGCCCAGCACTCTGGGAGGCTGATGCACGAGGGTCTCGGGTTCAAGCCCAGGCTGGACCATCTTGTAATATCCTATCTCACCCAAGAGGAAGCTGCGGGTGGAGCTCAGTAGCAGAAGCCCTTGGCTCAATCTCTAGTACCAAAAACAAAAGCAAAAGAAGTGGGAGCCCTGCCTCATGCTCGCTGGAAAAAAGAAAAAAAATTAATGAAATGTCTACATGTAAGGGCTAGAACTATAAATCTCTTGGAATAAAACAGGAATAAACTTTCATGTACTTGGATTAGGCCAAAGAAATACAAACAAATTAGACTTCATCAGCATTTTAAGTCATTGTGCTTCAGATTACACCAAAAAGAAAGTGAAAGGACAACACACAGGACGGGGGACACATTTTACAAATCTTACTTCTGAAAATAGACTTGTATGTAGGTATGCACAGGCTATCTTAGGACTCAGGAATGAAGAGAATCAAGCCAATCTTAAAATGTGCAAGGGATCTCAGTAGACATCGTTCCAAAGAAAATACGCTGGCCTTGCCGTGGATCTGAGAGACGACACGTGCAAACGCTACTTCAAGATAAAATGGAAACAAAGCTTTGCAGATAAAGAGGAGGAGGGGCGGAAGGGAGGGGAAGGGAATAGAGGAAAAGAGAAATCCAGATCTTTCGTGTACAGGCACAAATTCCCTACAAAGGACGTGATCATTACACAGATCTAAATTGGGCCAATAAACTTACTAAAGAAAAGATACTACTTCCAGTACCCCAGGATGGCTATTTTTCCAAAAACACGATGGTGTTAGGAAGAGACAGAGAAACTGGAACCCTCATACGCTGCTCATGGAACTGAAAAGTAGTGGGGACATCTGGAAAGTGGTCTGGCAGCTCTCCAAAGGGTTAAACGCAGAATTACCGCACGGCTATCTGCTATTTTATTACATATTACATAGAACTGTCAGGCCCGCATGGTAAACCCAAGAGAAACGAAAGCACATGTCTGCACAACTCAGATGTGATCATAACAATATTTTCATGATAGTCAAAAGGTAAAACAGGGCCAGGGAGAGAGCTCAGGGGCGTAAGCACCTGCCTGGCAAGCGCAAGGTTCCAAGTTCGATCCCTGGCACTGCAAAAAAACAGTGAAAACAGTCCACGTTCCCACCAGCTGATGGACAGATAAATAAAGTGTGACATATCCAGAACACAGACTACCAGCTGGCAATAAAAACAGATGTGATGGGATACACGCATGCACCTTGAAAACAGAGCAAGCGGGAGAAGACACTCACGGGGACCACCTGCTGTGGGCTCTGTTCACAGGCAAATTAGAAGTCGCAGGGACAGGGGGCAAGAGAGGAATAAGGAACTGCTCGTGGGCCTGGTGTTGCTTGGAGGGAGATAAAAATGTTTTAAAATGCTTTATGGTGACAGTTTAGCAACGCTGTGTTTATCAAAATCCATATGAATTATGTCTTAACGAACCTCTTATTTAAAGATGGAATTATAGGGCTGGGGAGATAGCTCAGCAGTCTAAGCGCCTGCCTGGCAAGCGCAAGGACGCAGGTTCGATCCCCAGTACCGCGTGGTGTGCCGGCCTCAAAAACCCAGGTGCGCCGGGCCAGCCCTGCAACTGGGTGTCCCAGCACTGGGGAGGCTGCGACAGGGGATCACTGTGAGTCCGAGCTGCGAGGTGAGACCCTGTATCAAATAAAGAAATGTAAGGTTGTTTTTAGGGAAGGAGTTATAAAACATACTGTACTAGCAAGTACAGAAAAGCCCTTTGCTCACAGGCTACCCGCATCAGCCTGCCATTCAGAAGAGGAGCGTGAGGGCCGACTCTGAGCAACATGCCTGCGTCCTCCGTTGAAGCAGCAAGTCGAGGCAGCTGTTGGCCTCCCACTTGCCCTTCCCAGACTGGGCTGAGTCAGAGCCAGGGAAACGTGGCCATAGGAGCAAGCGGCTGTTTCCTGTCACAAGAAAACAGAAGCAGCCTGCGCAACACCGGCTCCGCACTTCCGGCCGCCAGTGCTTCCCCGCGAGTTCACGGCCAAGAAATGGCATCGCGACTCTCTGAAGCGTGACAGCATCCCCTGCTGCTGCGTCCACTCGGGACTCCACCTCCAACACTTTGTTCAGCTTGGTTTAAACTATAAACTGATTCAAGCCTCCCCGCACAAGCTGTGTCCATACTCCAAACACCCCCGCCCATCACCTTGGGGGTGAAATCCCACTGAAAGAGCATAAAATCCTTCGCAGCGAATCAATTTCTCTTACTTGCCTAATGACCGAAAGGACCCAGTGTGCTAAAGGTCGTCGGGAACTCCACCAACTTAGGCTATTTGTCCGCCATTGTCCCAATTATTGCTACATGGGATGCTATTGTTTACTTATTGTTTCTTTAAGTTAATTTGTACCTTTTTTTACTTATGTGTACGTGTGAACCTAAAAGAAAAGTCAGTGACTTCACCATAAATTGAAAGTCACACTTAAAAATAAAGCCAGCGAGCCAGGCATGAATGCACACGCCATAATCTCGGCCCCCGGAGGCTGAAGCGGAAGATTGCAAATGCGAGGCCACTGAGGGCAATTTAGCCCGAAAGACCTGGCCTCAAAGTTTAAAAACCAATCTGGCTGTGCAGCTCAATGGTAAAGTGCTTGGGTAACTCATGCAAGGCCCTAGCTAGGTTCAATCCCCTGTACGGCAGAAAATTTTAAAGTAGTAATAAACTTAGCAAAAACAGAACATATTTGATTCCACCTCCATGTGGAGCTCGGCCAGATTCTGAGGCCCACGCCACATGGTTAAGTGGGGGGTCGGCAAGGCTCAGAGACCCGAGCGAACCAAGGCGAGTCTTTCTCTCCGAGAGATTACGTAAGAAGAGAAACGCTCAGGACGCTGGAGAAGCCCTTGACCGGTCTTCCAGAACTCCTAAGGGCGCATGACGAGCTGCCTTCCTAGCAGGGTAGAGTCAGTGCTGTTCTTCCCACACGTGCAGTCTTGGAAAACGACTTCTAGGAATGCAGTCGCCTGGGAAGCACCTGGGTGCCCGGGTGGTGCTAAGCAGGGCTTTGAGGCTACGGTGGGCACTGGCATGGGGATACTTATGTTCCTCTGTAGTGTCTGTCGGAGCGAGGGGAGGCTTGCTGAGGAAAGCTGGGGTGGCGGTGGGCTGCGAAGGTGCGTCTCCCAGCCGTGATGGCTTGGAGTCTGGGCAGGAGACGGGTGGAGCTGGAGTCCCGCAGAGCAGGGCCAGTCGGGTGGGAGGGGAAGCCCCCCACGCTGTGGGCTCGCCCAGCCTGAGAAGGAAGGCTGAACGCAACGCGGTGTCCAGAGTGAAGGCCAGGCGCGAACACACTTGGGCAAGCTTGAACTCTCCGCTTAGCCAGGAATGGCTGGCATTATGTACTTGGCTGTCTGGGAGGCTGCCAGGTGCCAGGCTGGGCCTCAGGAAAAATGAAGGCTGCCACCTCAGGCAGCAGGTGGTGTTGTGAGGAGGCCTGGCACAAATAACTACAACAAGGTAAGGCAAGGGAATGCTTTCTTATTTTAACGTTGTAATGAGTGCAAATAACGGCCTCATTCTGAAGCCATACACATGGGCAAGAAAATGTATCGTCCATAACCCAGGAACAAGTGACGTTAGGCATCAGGGGATCCAGCTGCCTCTCACAAAGTGACATGTAAAGCTCAAGGGTCCAGTGACAGCGGTCACAGACATGTCTTCCAGAGCTGGGGGTGAAAATCAGCGTGGCAGCTCACACGTGCCTGGGAGGGAGGTCCCCAGGAACATCTAGGCAAGAGGAATTGGCTGGGCAGAACACCCCTGCTGCCCCCCACACCGCCCCAGCAGGGAGTGGCTCACAGAGGAGGGGTGTGCGGTTGCTAGGCCCTCAGTCAGGAGAGCGTCCCCTACGAGGAGGTTTTGGTCAGGGCCCGAACTTAGAACACAACCGGGGCTCCAGGGACAGTGCGGGGTGCTCCCGCTCAGCATCTGGGGAGAAGGAAAAAGCAGCAGGCATTTCCGAAGAAGCCGCCAGTGCCAGAGTCGAGACACACATCTGGGTATCTCTTCTCAAGGACCCAGTCTCCTCTGACAGATCTACAGATTAGATATGATGGGACTAGGCTCAGCATTAAGGACTGGCCTAGCACGCACGAGGCCCCGGGTTCAAACCCTACTGCTGGAAAAAAAAAAACTAAATGAATAAATAAGTAGAAGAACTGGAGTCAGGTGTGATCTGGACACCCGTAAACACATCCTGAGGGCTAAGGCAAGAGTCACAAATTTGAACCCAGCCTGGGCAACCTGGTGACTTAGCAAGAACTGTCTCAAAATAAAAAAATAAATGTAAGAATGAAAAGTCTCAAACTCTTGGTTGAATCTCTATTCACACACACACACACATGTGCATGCATGTACACTTGATTATCTCCATTTCACACATGAAAAACTGAAGGACTCGAGAATTTAAGTAACTTGTCTAGCAGGTCACAAATCCTGGAGGGAAGAAACTTGTGTTGCGTTCATCAGCGAGTCTTCGGGGACCACTGGTGCCTGGCATATAATGGCGTTGGATAGATGCTTGGGCCGGGGCTGAGCAGGATGCTGGGTGGAAGGGGAGAAGGAGAGAGGGAAGGAGGAAGGTGGGAGGGACTGGGGGGAAGTGGCCTCTGGCCAGGCCTGGGCCACCCCAGCCCACAGCGCTTCCCATGTCCCAGGGGCCACCATGCACTGGAGGAAGTACCTGCTGCAGGGCCTGCACCGGCTGCAGAAGGGCCCGGGCTACACCTACAAAGAGCTGCTGGTCTGGTACTGCAACAACACCAACACGCACGGCCCCAAGCGCATCATCTGCGAGGGGCCCAAGAAGAAGGCCATGTGGTTCCTGATCACCCTGCTCTTCGCCTCCCTCGTGTGCTGGCAGTGGGGCGTCTTCATCAAGACCTACCTGAGCTGGGACGTCAGCGTCTCGCTGTCCCTGGGCTTCAAGACCATGGACTTCCCCGCCGTCACCATCTGCAACTCCAGCCCCTTCCGGTAGGCGGAGCTCGCAGGGCTGCCCGCCCTCTCCTGCTCGTCCCGGCGCCCTGCCTTCCGCGCCTTCCCTTGCTGGACCTTTCTCTTCTCCTTTATCTCCAAGTTCCCCTCCCCCCTTCTTAGTCTTTCGCCTTTGCTCCCTCTGTCTCTGAGTTCTTCCTCTCTCAGCAAGTAAGATCCCAGATTCATAAACATCTGAGGCTTAAAGGGAAGCCCAGAACGTGCCTGGCGGTTCTGTCCTCGAGAATGCCAGCGTCTGCTTTGTATCCCGTCTGTGCCACCGCGCAGCCGTGGTGTGTCGGCCACCGCTGTAGATGTCTGGCCACAGCAGCGCGCAGCCCTCTCTACGGGGAAGCAGGCGTTGGTACTTCTCCACGCGTACTGAATTAAGTGTAACTGGTGACCGCAGCACTACACAGCCAATGCCCATGGTGTGTCAGGCAGTGACGCCCGAGCGAGTCCAATCCACCAGCCAACCACAGGCAGGTGCTTCGGCAGCAACCCGATGCGCAGCTAAGGGACCGAAGGATCAGAGGCGAGAGAACCAGCCCAAGACACTCCGCGGGCAAGTCTGGGATTTGAGCCCAGGCCCGGGCTTGCTGCAGGCCTGGCCTTCCTGCCAACCCGGCTGCTAGGCTCTGTATGGGACACACAGGGAGGCTGGGGCTCCTCCGGGTTAGGGGAAGCAGGCGGTCAGTAAGGCAAAGCCCTGGGAGGGATGCCCTTGGGTGGAGGACACAGCATGCGCAAAGGCCTGGGGTGGGCAAGAGCCCCATCCTGAGAGCTCAGGGGCTGGAGGCAGAGCAGAGGACTTCAGTAGCCCTAAGCGGAGCTCTGGAGTGGGAGGGGACAAGGCCCTCTGGATCGGGACGGTCGCAGCAGAGGGAAAAGCTGACCTAGAGATGCTTAAGACAATGCTCCAACCGACCCTAAGCAAGAGGTGGGAGAATAATAAAAAACAGTCGCCCCAGAGAGCTCAGCCTTGCCCCTGGAGGCCCGCAGCCCCCTCAGCGAAGAGGATACGGCTGCCAGGCCCAGCCGACCAAGCTGGCCTGGCCGGCGAGCTGGGAGAGGGGCACCCAGGGGCTGTGCCTGCGGGAAGACCGGGGACGCCTGCGGCCTCCCTCCAAATAAGCTCTCCCGGAGGCTGCTCGGCTCCTACACTAAGCTGCAATTAGACCTTGCAGACTGGACCGCAAGGAAACAAAGAAACAAGCCCTGTCTGAAAAGGCTGAAATGTCGGCTTCTAACAGTTTATCTGATTTTCTTTTCCTTTTCTCTTTCTTTCTTTTTGTTTAGAATGTTTCTGTGGGGGGTTTGTAGTTGTTGAATTAGCAACGATCTGGGAGAACTGAATTAATTAACATTCAAATATAGAGCTGTACATCAACATTCTAGAGGGGTAGAACACGCGCAGGTGCCAGGGTGGATGGGTGGGGAAGGGAGCATGTGTGCAGGTCACATTCTTCCACCTGGCCTGGCGACAGCCACACAGGGATAGGAGCCAGACCCCAGTGCGGGCTCGCAGATGCCCCGCCCCCTCCCTAGCCTGCCCCCTCACCTCCCTAACCCCCACCCACCTCCCTAACTTCCTGCCCGCCTCCCTGCCCTCCCCCAACCCCCTAACCTCCCCCTGCCCACCTCCCTAATCTCCCTCAACACCCTCCCCTCCCCCTATCCACCTCCCCAACCTCTCCACCTGCCCACCTCCCTAACCTCCCCCCCCTCCCTAACCTTCCCCTGCCTACCTCCCTAACTTCCCCACACACACCTCCCTAACCTCCCCTGCTCCCTCCCTAACCTCCCCTGCCCACCTCCCTTGCCTCCCCTCTGCCTACCTCCCTAACCCTCCCTGCCCAACACCCTAACCTCCCCCTGCCCACCTCCCTAACCTCTCCGCCTGCCCACCTCCCTACCCTCGCCCTGCCCACCTCCCTACCCTCCCCTTGGCCCCTCCCTACCCTCCCCGTCCACCTCCCTACTCTCCCTGCCCCCTCCCTACCCTCCCCCTGCCCACCTCCC